CAACCTGCCCTGCATCGGACCCGCCGGTGCGCTCCCCGGCTGGCCTGGCTGGCTGGCGTGGCGGGTTGGCTGGCGGGCGCGGGCAGCGCGGCCCTTGCCCTGCACCCGCATATGCTGCCTGTATGTCGGGCCCGCGCCACCCCACCCCACGCCACCACCCCATGCGCTCACTCTACACCTGTCGTCCTGCTCCCGTGACGCGCAGGCAACACGTTTGAGTCCACTGCCGCCTACCTGTTTGGGATTGCGATAGACGAGGCCGGCACCAAGGCCGTGCCGCGCTGGTTCTCCCTGAACATTGTGACCGGGACCGCATAGGCCATCGGCCCCATTGAAATCTGTTGTGGGGGGATGCCAGGCGCCCGCCCAGCTGCGCTCTTCTGCGTCATGCTTGCCGGCTTTTGCCTTGCCCACCCTGCTCTGGGTTTGGCTTCAAACACTTCTTTCTTCCTTTCCAGCCTACCCAGCCCGCATGTGCACGCCATACATTTCTCTCTCTGCCGCTTCCACCCCAGTTTTTTTCCCTGGGAGAGCCACATGTTAAGCACCGTATGATGCCAGGCTGGGCGCAAGAAGGCATCCGGGGGCAAGAAGGCATCCGGGGGCGGGCCCTGCTGTGCGCATGTTGTCTGCCGCTGTGGGGTGGCTGCCGTCAGTCCAGACAGAAAGAGAGCAGCAGCATTGCGAGTTACAAACGCACATGCGACGGGCATGGCTGCACAAGCATGTAGATGGAGATGAGGGGCTGGATCAGAGGGAGCAACAAACAAAACTGGCATGAGCACAAGGAAAAACAGCAGGAAACGGAGAAACAGCGGAGGGGCGCAATCAACCCTCACATTGCCAGCACTGAAAGTTAGTCGGAAGGAGCAGAAAGGCCAAGGCAGCACAGACGCGCTTGCTTGGGCTGAACAACGCAGGGAAAGACGGGACATCAGGCGCGCCGTCCCGACAGCAGCGACCGCACGCGGGCGCAGCCCAGCAGCGCAATCCCGGCAGCCAGCAGGCTGCCGAGGCCGGCGCCGCCGCCGGCGCCGCCGGCGGCCAGGCCGCGCATCAGCTCGCCGCAGCGGTGCAGCGCCTGCGAGGCCCCCACCGCATCGTCCACCCACTGCACGCGGGCGGGGCCCAGGAGGCGGTACGCCAGCCGTACAGGCGCCACCAGCGCTGCGTAGATAGCAGGCAGGTGGGGCACCCAGCTGGTGGGGACCCAGTCGTCTAGCAGCCACTCAGAAC